AAAGATGAAGAAAACCCCTCACAGTTATCATGAAGGGCAAAATTAGCTATATAGACCAAAATTATTTTTTGAACCAGGCTGTAAACATGTTTTTTTCTGCTGTAAAGTTGGGCATTTTAACATGAGGAGTCTATGGGACTGACTCTCTTCTGCAGCCAGCCTCTAGCGGCCAGTTGACGAATTACAGTTTAAGTCACTTCGGTTGAGACGTGCGCCTAGGACTGCGCATGCGCACACTAGCCTGAGACAAGCTTTTTATAACGCTATTTGAGCGAAATAAACAACATTTATGATACAGTTGTTGTCAGATTAGTGATTTCAAATATGAAATTGAATCATAAGCTTGGCGACCAGTTTTGGAGAATTTGATGTTCCCCCATTCAGAGAGAGAGGACTTTGTTTCGAAGAAATTATGAAGGAAACGGAGACGGCTAGAAGCCAAGCATGAGCAGCTGTGTTATGTTTTGATATTTATGCATCATTCCGTTATGAATTCAAAAAAGTTGATTCATGTAAAATCTAATACCCGCCCCGAGGTATTACAAATGTTCCAGCCGTGTTTCTTAAATTATACCTTAACTAACTACAACTAATCACTCTCGCATGTAAATGAACTCTTGCTTAATTGATATAGTTTATCATCAAGAACAGCGTCTTACCTCAGCACAGCTCCTGTCAGCTTCCCGCGCTCCTGCTCCTCCAGTTTAACGGTTTTTGTCACGTGATCCATTCAAACGTTTAAAAAAAAAACGTTTATATTCTACAACTTCAATACAAGTGTAGGTTGATGTAATTGAGGTATTTTCATTATTTGATTATACTATTTGAACTTTTTCGTCAAACAGACTTGCTTTTTTTGATATTTCAGATATGTAAAGCACACATTTAGTCATTTAGCAGACGACTTACAAATGAGGACAGGTGCTTTAGTTCATTATTTTGAGATTATAAGTTAGCCTACAACAGAAACCGGAGAAAACTAACACCTGCATCAAGTATTAAATTCATTTATTGTTTACAAAAATATGGTACAGATGAGATCTGCACATTGCACACAGCTATACAGATGAGAATGTAAACTAGACTGGTTTGTGAAAGCGCCTGTAAGCGTATAATCCTGCCGTTCTTCCAGCTCTTACACACGAGACACGGCCGATCTTCAGCCGTCCTGAGAAACTGCTTCAGTAATGATGAACTTTAATCTGGTTGTTGTCGTCGAGGCTGAGCTGAACTAACCCACCGCTGCTGGACGCGCTTCTGAGGCTCGGGAACAGAGGACTGAGTGTGTGACGCTCAGGAAAACACAGAGAGAGAGAGTGTGTGTGTGTGTGTGTGTGTGAGTGTGTGTGT